TCTATCTATCTATCTATCTATCTATCTATCTATCTATCTATCTATCTATCTATCTATCTATCTATCTATCTATCTATCTATCTATCTATCTATCTATCTCAGCATCTAAAAAAATCTAAGCCTCAGCCAAACCTATGGGATCTGCAGTGGAGATGATTACATCGTGGTGTTGCAGGCTCATCATAAAAATAAATCCATTTTTCTGTACGGCTGTGCACAAGTGGCCACTCTCTTTGTCTAAATCAGCTGCTTTGTCCCCAGTTACTATGATCCGCTACCTTTACATGCAACAGCACATACAGAACAGGAAACACACACTTGTTCGAGCACAGTCTCGCTCAAAGCGCAGTGAAAGTCACTCACCCCGGAGCAGAGTCGCAAGTATCAACAGCCACAGAGCCACAGTTTGCTTCATTCTGCATTCCTCTGTATCGGCAGAGAAAGAGTGGTAAAAGGAGAAATAGAGGGAGAAGGTGAAGATGAAGGAAGATTAAACATGTAAAGTGAGGAAAAATGGGGATGTGAAGAGAAAGAGAGGCTGTAGAAAACAAGTGGAGAGAGCTCAACACCAGCAGCGGCAGAGCAGGGAAAGGAGGAGAAAGGGTGAGGAAGAGAGAGACTGAGAGAGTGGGTGAGAAATGCAGCGAAATGACTGCTCCTCTAAAGACGGAGAAGCTGTTTGTTGGAGTCGGTCAGGTTTAGAGACATGGGGATGCCCTGACCTGTGCTAAAACTCATCATCCATGCCTCCCTTCTCAATATACCCTGCAGACTTTATGATATGCAGTTATCTGTGACTACATGTCAGTCATCCTCCATCATTTTATGATGGATTCATTCAGTTTTTCTGGATTGGTGGACATAAAGAGCAGCTTTATTTTTGGAGGAGATATAATACGCAGAGCTGTCTGGGTGATGGGATTTTTAGTAGCTATTGTCCAGCTGTCTTTAACAGTTATTAAATCAGTTAAAATCACAGGAAATATTATATACATGTGTGTGTGTGTATGTGTTTTGGGGTTTTTTCACTTTCTAATTTATACCAGGAAGCAATATTTAAAATCTGTCTTGCTTTTGAGCTAGTCTGATCTGACACTAGCGTATTCACAGAGTAGTGGTGACACCCAATGGCTATGTCAGTAAAATGCAATATGCACATTAACACACTGAGCAAATTTCGATAGATTGTTTATTCTTATCAAGTGCAAATGCTGTTAAAAAGCATCTCCCAGATTTCTTTACGGCTTGTTAAGGACATTGTAAACAATTTAAAATAATTTTTGAAAGCAAATAAACAATTATAAGGCAGAGATCAATATTAGCTGTAAAAGACACTGCTACAGTAACAGTGAGAACAAAGGGGGAAGTACATAGAAATACTGTTTATAAATGCAGCCACGTACTGTTGTTAGCCTGCAAAAAAGTCTAAACCTTGTGTGTCAATTAATAAATCACTTCCACCAAAATGGGGGAAAAAAATCCACCTTGTTAAACAAAGGTGGTCAAAACATTTTGTTGCTTTGTCAGAACAGCA